TTTCACGAATATCATATTATAGACTACTTTAATCGACTATATATTAATGTTGTAATGAAAAGATCTTACATCTTATATAATAAAATATGCAATCCTTTATACTAAAATATAAAATAGTATCTTTAAAACAGCTCTTTATAACTCCTAAAAAGTACGAACATGTATCAAAAAGTTGACAGTTATTAATCACGTAAAATGCAGTTATTTTACATATACTGCTCAGAAGTAATTCAGAATATTATTCTGTATAACGGTTGTTAAAATATTAAATGTAATTTAAAAATAATCCTAAAGTACCAAATTGATTTTTGAAATTTTCTAATAAAATCTTCGTACAAGATACACGAATTTGTCTCTTGTATACGAAGATTTTAATGCTCAAGAGACACGAATTAGTTTGAACGAAACCTAAAGATATTACTAATAGTCTTACATAACCAATAATTTTTTGCTACAGTAACTGTAAAATTCAAAAAGTAAATTTAAATTTATATTTAATATTTTATCATATTATATGAAATTATTTTTAATATTTGCAAATAAATTATGGTATATGTACAAATGTTTATCTATATATTTAAATAGAGACCTAAAATTTGTGTTTCCACATACACACTTTAAGTAAATTCGTAAAGTTTTAACAAAATAAGTTCAAGAGTAGTAAGAGTAAGTATACTTTTAAAAATAACATAATTTATGAATTATAATTTACATTTTTCCATAATACCAATATATGAGAGATTTTAGTTTGTCTCGGACATAGATTACATTAAAAATATTATTCAAATATGTGCAAAATTTGAAATTACAAACTTTTTAAAATATGAATTAAATATTTTTTTGTTTTTGTTCTTAAAAGTGACCCAAATTCTATTGTTTTACCTTTATTTCAGAAATTTACATATTGTATGACTGAAGGAAATTTTTTTCAAAAAAAAAAAAATACATGCATATATTTCAAAAATCTATTATTGTCCTACGGGGAATATTTTAAAATATAAATTTAAGATTATTTAAAAAAAAATTTTATTATTTAATAAAAGGTTCTAATATAAGTAACTTTTGGGATAAATACAAAGATACTCGCAAATAGTCAAATATGAATTTAAAAAAAATAAAATTTAAGTTCATTAATTTTAAAAATTTTTATTTTATATGCGTAAACTAAGATAATATTTTGCAAGCCCATAAGTTCCGAATCTGCTGTTATATTTTGTTTCTCACCACTAATTTGCAGCAATACAAACAGTTTATTGGTACATAAGTTCGAGTTTTTAAAATTACAAAATATTTTAGTAAATCTAAAACCAAAGAGAAAAATTCGGCTCAATATGTCAACTCTCTCTTTAGATTCAAGACTTTTTAGTGACATTATAGCATAACATGTATTTTATACTATACTTATTACTAATTATATAGAAAAGAATAATATATTGTAACATTATTAAAATATAAAATTAAATAAAAATTAATTTTTTATATTTTTTAATTTTTATTAAAATTCAATTAAGCATATATTGTGAAAATATTATAGAAAATATTAATGAAATTAACATAAATATTCAAAAAGGTAAAAGGTTGAAAAAATAATTACTTATATGAGAAAGTTTGTAAAATTTTATTAAAGAAAATTGATTTTATTCTATTCAAATAAAATTTAAGAGTAAAATAGAAAATATAAAAGAAGCTTGAAGACAAAAGAAAAGTGAAATACAATAAAAAGTTTTGAAAATATAATTGTAACTTACAACACCAACAAAAAAGCACCAACATCTTAATATTGCATAGAGCCAGCTGTTTAGATTTTTATACCTAAATATTATAAAGTATAATGATGAAGAAATAATATATACATGCGTTAGTAAACAAGTAAACACACACATATTATGTATGATTGTATATGTACGTATGTGTAATACCTAAGTGAAAAAAATTAATTCTTTTGATTGTTACTGTACAACCCCGAAAACATTTTAGTAACTGTATGCTAAGTAATATTGTTGAAATCCTAGTTTTTAAAATTAGAATCCGAAAATTCTTAGACGAAATACCATATACTGCCGTGAAAGTTAAAAAACCGAAAATCAGGAGTAGTTCGTGCATTATGTACAAATCTCTCTAGTCCATCAGTCTAGACAGATAGGAGGAAGCATAAAAAATTTGTTCTTTACAATATGAATAAAGACATTAAGTTATTTAAGCAGAATTCGAGACTATAATAAATTGTTAATTTTCAACTCCATTATATAGAAATTGTCATTTTAAATGTACTCAAAATAATATGCCATTCGGTCCACTTCCAAGCAATAATAAGATATAATTAAAAATTCCGGATTTTTTTTTGGATTAAATGAATAAGTGAAATTATCTGTTTTTTTTGTTGCTGTTATAGAAACAAAGTTTCAATATTCAAAGTATAATTTATGCCAAAATATAATTGCATGCTTTTGGGCTTGTACACTAACAAATGTGTGTTCACACTCCATGTACTTATATGTAACATATACATAATATCGTCGGTTAAAAAGCAGAAAGCATTAAATCAGGAAACTGTATTTTGAGTAAATTCAATTTGATAAAATCGTAAAATTGTAAAACTAATCAATTAGTGGAATAGGATTGGTCTCTTTAATTTCAGGATTTATAAACAACATTCTGGATTTGCATGATTTTTTGCCACAACAAAGATTAGATTATTCTGATCGAATTCATCTATGAATTCCGAATTCTCAAAAAATGCACTTAGTACTTTCTGCTTTTTAACCGACGATATATTAAAACTAAATAATCCTTTAACATCTACGAGTAAAACTTTTAAAATTATAAACGCACTTAACAAAATTTGTAAACTTCTGAACTGAATAAAATTTTATTTTCGATATACTCTATATTAATTATAGTTTATGTAGATATGTATATTATATGTACATATATTATTTAGGTATATGTAATTATTCAAATAGATGTAGGTACATTTGTAATGTGTATGAATAAACAATAATCTAATTATTATATTTGTTATAAAATTTTATATTGAATTCTGACTTCTTTAGAAATAATAATTAAGTAGAGTAGCTTAATTTTGTTGTAATAATAATGTTTAATTAAAAACATAACATTATTTTCCGACATCTATAGAAACAATTAAAATTGTAGATTTATAAAATCCTTTTATAATTCATATTTATTTGTTCTAAATAATTAAATTATTTGTTCGAAAATTTTGTACGTATGTACATTATGTAAGTTTATAATATGTACGAAGCATCATTTCTATTAAGGCAACATGCAAATTTTCATATGTATAATGCACAAACATATACACATTCGTATTTTTTATATTTAATTATAAATGTTAACTTTTGGCATAATTTTGAGTACCTACTTTACAAGTCTTATAATAATTTGATTTGATTTTAGTCACTTTCATGCATACAATCATAATGAATATTGTGTATTATGTAAAACTAAATCATGTAAGTATTAAGATTAAATTGAATTTGCAAATTGAACAAAGTGTGAGACTTTTATAATTTAATATGAATGATATAATAATTATAACTTTATTTAGATTTAAAATTTGCAATGTTCAATAAAATTATGAATTTGAATTTCTTAAAATTAGGTATCATGTTATTGAAATTTTATTTTATATTCTCTCGTATCAAGTCAATTTAGAATTTTAAATTGAAATAAAATTACTTCATATATTTTGCTCCATATACTTTGTAGGTACTCGTACATAGTTGAGCAACATTTTTAATTTTTAATTGAAAATCAAGGGGGATTTTCATTTAACTTTAAAAATTCTTACTAATTTCAATGCAATTTAATTAGAGCATATAGTTCTTAGAATTAATTAAAAAATAATCTATCGTAGCACTTGTTTTTAGACCTTTGAATATAGAAAATATTATACAGTATTTTTCGGGTCTTATTATTTTAGCAAGCATATAGTTTGTTTGTTGGAAATTTAATGAAAATTTAAATTGAATTCAATTGAAACGAAAATTATCTAATGAACTGTTTAAATGTGGGAGAGGTATATTAGTAATAATTAATTATTAATTATTGTCAATATAGGTTTAAAGAAGTTAGAACAATAAAATTTTCCGTAAGTCGAAAGCGATTTCTGCCAAAACAAATAATGTATATACAATATACATATTTTATAAAGGGCTTTACAAAAATCAAATCGATAAACATAAATATTTTTTTCAAATAATCAGTGCCAATTTATCTGAGCTGTTTAACAATTTATAATAGTAAAACGTATAGTTTTCTGGGACGAAATTGTGGTTAGGATTCTCTATATATTCAAACAAAAAATTTTCTTTTGCAATTCACAACTAAGGTATACATATTCATATTTCAGGGCGAAGAGACTGTGACTAAACAGCATTGCTTTTTTGAGAAATCTTCACTTCACAGTCTTTATTTTAACCTATGCTTGACTTTTGCATTCATTTAAAAAATCGGCGCAAAACCGGATATCTACACATATACATAATAAAAATTTGCATTAATTGGAACTGGACTCTCTGTAAGAAATTCTTAGTAAAATGTCTTATTTACTTACTTATGTATATAAATGATAAATAAGGTTTTGTTAATATTGCAAAGTAAATTCAATGTTCATTTTGCCATTGTTATAATAAAATATGCTAGGCCACTGATTATTTTAATATAGGGTGGTATAATTATACATATCTATATGTTTGAATATTTTTTAATTAAAATTTAATTATTATTTATTATAACATCTAAATTTAGCATATAAGAATAACAAGCAAAAAAAAAAACAAAAAATAAATGAAACATTAATTTTATACCACTTAAACTCTTGTTCTCTTTTATAAACACATACATATATGTACAATAAATAAATAATAATAATTAATATACATATACATATACATATATGTATTATAAATTATATGTTGAATTCATGTTTATTGTTGTTGTTTTTGTTTTCACTTATTTTATAGCAAAACTCTTACGATTTATTTAGGAGCAGACAAGTAGAATAGTACAACATCAATATGTATTGTATTTATATATATATATATATAATTTAGTATATATATATGTATAATAATGTACGATATTTTGTTTTCTCTAGTATGACATAAGTATGTTGAGCATATTATAACATTTTTCTTATGATTTATGTATACACAAACACATACATATACATAGAACAGAGTACATTATATATATTAATTTTTTTCTTTAATTTTGGTGTAGATCAAATTTATTTGAATTTTTTTTTTAATTTCTGTTCTATTTATACAAAATATATGTAAGTATTGCAATTTATTAAAAAGTCGCCATCTTTAAATTTTATTTACCTGAACAATATTTTTATTTCAATACTTAATATACATACATGTTAGTATTTAAATTAAAATTAAATATAATTTGAAAAATAAATTTAATTATTCTATATTATTTTATGTTTTGAATTTAATAATGATGTTTTTATTATTAAAATTTATTTATCATTATTATTATATTTACTAGTTTATTAATTGCTAATTTTGTTTATCATAATTCGATAATTTTTATGTTATGATAAAAATTTTGTTATTTATTATATAATTTATAGTTGCTAATTAAATATTTTGCTAATATTAAAACCAAAAGAAAAAATTCCTTTTTTGATTTTTAATAATTATTATAATTATTTATTTTATATTTCAATGATATTTTAATGCTACTGTATTTTTGTTTTCTAATAATTTTTTTCTGCTAAATAACACACTACACTATTATAAATTCTTTAATTATAATTATGGTACCTATAATCACACTTATAATTTTCTATTTTCCATAATGTTTTTGCATTTTATTGAATTTTTTATATTGATAATATTTATTGACATAAAAAAATATTTTTTTTTTAATATTTATACTACTATGTAATGTATTTTAATTGGATTTCTCTGTAATCTATATTATACATACATATATATCAGGAAAAATACCACTAAGTATACAATAAAATATTTGTGGGAAGATATGCCAAATATTATTATTTGTAATCTAGCCACTTATAATTAGGAACAATATTGTTTTAGACAGGGGACATGGAATATATTCCTTAATTTGAATTTATTCTTCTATTTAGGGTTTATAATGACTATAATAACCAAAAAAGTCAGATGAATTAAAACTGTTTAAATCGTTTGTGTTAATTATGAAAACCAATTGGTTTATCTCCAATATTTTTTTTGTGAATATTGTATTCTACATAGATTATTCAAAATTTTTAAAATTTTATGCACAAATTGCGTTTAAAAATAAATTTTAAAATAATTTTATTTTTAATTATTTACAATAAGATTTCTGTGCCTATACTCCAATTATTATTATTTATAATTATTTTTTATTTGAGGTTATATTTAAAATAATAACAATAACTGAATAACTACGTAAGTGAAATGAAACATATTTTTCGTAACTTTTATGTGTGTTACATGTGAATATTTATTAATTTTTGTGAATTTTTATTACGAGAGTACTTACATATTTTATATAATGTATGTATAAGTGCAGGTTAAAGAATATTAATTAATGTTATGTAGGTATGATTCATAAAATGAGTTTCGACTCACTCATTGTTATACAAATTTTGTTTACGTTGGAAATATTGAGTATAATAATTTATAGCTACAGAACAAAAGCTACAACCGTATAAAAATGTAGCAAAAAATTTATTTATCAATTATTAGTAGTTTTATATTTAAATTTTGTAGTTCACATTCACAATTCACACTCATTTTGCATTATAACTGAGAAAATTTGAGAATATTTTTATTACGTATCATGTTTATACTTATGTAAACACGTATACAACACCGTATATAAAAAGGGATTTTTTTGACTTTCCGAAAATTTCTGTTTTTGTTTTTTTTTTTGTTTGGGAAATTTTATTTACAATTTACAAATCCCTATTAGTTTACTTTCTTTAATCGAAGTCAAATAGCTAAGCTCAATGACAATGACGAAAGTAAAAAAGATGAAGAAAATTGAAAACATTTGTACTCTTAATGCAAAAATTTTTACGGTATTTAGAGAGAGCGGCACAACATATTAAATACTGTGTTATTTGTGAAAAAAAAATTAATCTTACCTTGTGAAAATCAATTAATCTTATGGTTTTTAGAAAACATCCTAACTATTTTTATAAAACTTTATTTGTTATTTTCTCTATATTTAATAACACTTTTCTTTATTTTTTCAATATTTCTGATAAAAATAATTTGTACAGCATAATTATGCATAAGCAAATTTAAGAATTTATTCAACAAATTCGAGATTTACATTTTTAATAATAAGAACAACCGATAATATTACACACAACATTTCTGTATTACATTCAGCATTTGACTAATTTGGTTTTGCTCGTATTCTTGTTTGTGTTTTTAAAAAACCGTTACCACTCAAAATAATATTAATTGGAGTTAAGAATTGGAGAATTAATTATGTTCCGATTATGTTTACATACATAATTATGTATGTATATAAACATGAATTTGAAACAAATATTAAAATAAATGTTATACCTACTCATAAGCTGAAGAAAACATTTTATGTTTCATTTCATTTGTCTCCCGTTTCATATATTTTTCGGTTACGTGCAATAACAAGTTTCTGTTTAATTTTAGTTCAGTTAAATCAGTACTGTTAAAGGCGTTCAATTAAAAAAATGAGTGGAGAGTAACCAATTTAATTTTTAAAAATTTCGAATATTATTGCGTGTATTTTTTTTATAAAATATTCTTTTATTAACAAATTGAACTCGTTATTATTCTAATTATTTGGGTAAGCCATTAATTTATTATAAAATAATTCTATAACACACAAAAGAAAAATAGTTTTGAAAAGTGATCTCACCCGAAACATAATTCCTATAAGTTGCTGAATTAAAGAAACGGGATTCTAAATATAACATTAACATTATAAATTTAAAAATTTTATTATAAAATAAAACTTTAATAATGCAATTTTTTCCACGATTTTGATAAGTAGTAGTATCTCTTTAGGCTGTAAAAGATCATGTTTAAAAATATGCATTGAAATTAGAAAATAAAACGTAATAAATGAATTTAATATTTGTATGCAAAGTCAAAATTTTCAATAACTGTTATATGCATGTAGTTATAAAATGGTATACAAAGTAATCAAAATCATTTTTATAACAATAACATAGTGTTTGACTATAACTATATTTGACAAATGTATATTCATGTACATATGTATGTATGTACATATATTGTTATTTAAAATTCGTAATAATTATGTGATAACAATTTTGTGAGAATTTTTGTGAAATAATTAAAAGGCTAATATAATACTTTACTATATCTAATTACATTGTATAACTATTATGAACTTAATAATTTTTTGTGTGCATAAAATTATCTTTTAATAAATTAATAAAAAAATTTTAATGTGCTATTTTAAAAATCTTAATAATTTTGATTGTTAATTTCAATATTGAAGTGATATATTGTATAACAAAAGAAGTAAGTAACACTTACGCCATATTATATAAAATTTTTTTAAAATTGTTATTATCTGCAAAAATTCAAACTTCATTACTAGCCTATATTTTAACACAAAATTAATATAGAACAACGAATTCAAAATGTTAATTATTACATTTAATTATTTTAATTTTCTGATATAAACTTTGTGCTTATATATTAAAATTATTATTTAGTTTGTATAATAATTTCAGCCTATAACATTTGCGCGCTTGCTTTCCTTTACAGAGTTACTCTTTATTTAATATAAATAAAATATAATTGTACAGCTCTAGGGAAAAAGTACTTAAGTAATTTTTTAGTAGATTTTCAGGAAACAGTTTTTTCTTTATAGCTTTTATATTTTTGATTTAACATGGATAGTTTCTTTTAGAATGTTATTTTAAATTTTGATCATTAATCCTTAAGTCAACTCAGTTATTAAGCTCTAACCCGTAAGTTTTAGGAAGGTTATATTGTTCACTTCAATTTACAAGAAAAGCATAAAAAGTGAGTAAAGTGATAATGCAGGTCGCTAGAGAACAAAAAATCAATGACATTTTTGTAATAAATATTTTTATTAGATTTTTGACAAGTACTTTTTCCCTGAAACCTTAGAATTATTTATTACCTTTTTAGGCTACTACCAACATTTACATATAATATTATACAAAATATTAATATAATATGTTACAAGTAAGTATGTATAGCACATGTATAATATTATATCTTATGTAAATTACATATAAATTTATGTATATAAATAATATACTAAGTACACTATATGATATTTTATTGTTTATTATTAATTATTGTATTCATTTTATGAAAATAATAATATTATTATTGATCCTTCTAGTTACGTGTTAAATAAATTACACACACTTATATAAATATTTGCACATAAATATAAACATCCCTAATTGTTATTAATTATAATATAATTATTATCATTATGTTCAATTCTATATAATAATTTTTTTTTATTTTTTAATATTATTAAATTTTATGAACTTTCTATTAAGAAATAATTGACTTCGTAAATAGGTCTGACACTATAATTATAAAATATTTTCACAAATCATTTTTTTTGCAATTATTTTAATTTTATTATTTTTTAATTTATATTTAAAATTTTAGTATTTTTTCCATTTTGTTTTTGTGTTTGTTCTGTAAAGCTTTTAATCCATTTTTCATGTTCTTGCTAAAATTCTGTTTTCCATTATTATGTTTTCATTTTTTTTTTTTATTAAGTAGGTATATCCTTAATACTGTTATTTAAGTGTAAATTATATCCTTATTGATTTATTTATAATTCATATTTCACATAGGCAGAAATATTTAAAAATTTAAGGTTTTTTTTTTCTCTTTTAATTTTTCTTGTTGAATTTCTAAAAATAAATTTGAAGAATGAGAATTCAGAAAAAAAAATTTTAATAGAACAGTGAAGTAATGCTGAAATTATTCATCAATGTAGATCGTACAAATTGTACGTAGATCATAAAATTAAGGGTTTGTTGAAAAGAGAATTTTATTGTGATGTCTATTAGTTTGTGAGTATGGATGGTTATTTCATT